TGTGTAGAAGCAGCCGCTCCAGGCCTGGCTTGCTTTGGAATAGGATGGATCGGCTGTCCAGTCGGGGTTTAGGGAGCCGCTCTGTCGCCCGTCTTTTGCAAGCGGTGAATCTGAACAGCCACGATGGTGCTATTGGACGGGCACGTTCAGGTTCCCGCTCAAAGAGCTCCCCTGTCAGCCCAGCCGGCGCAAGCCTAGACGGGGGCCCTGGAGTTACTCCAGAGAATGGAATGGCGGCAGCAACGAGGCATCGCTAGTTATTCGTTGGAGCCTGGCAGAGACAGCTAGGGGCATGTCCGGGTGTCGGGCGGCGAGGGAAATTAAACGCCATCGTGCCGGCACTCGACGCCCTCGCGGTTCTCTTCCGTTCGACTCGACGCGGTACGCAAGGGCGGGCGAGATGCTGGAATGCTGGAATGAAAGGCCGCATCACTGTGACGCATCGGATGGCGTTTGCGGCTGAGACGGGCCATGAGGTATCGGTCAGGCTGATCTTGATAGCCAACCGGGTGAGACCATCTGCGCATGTTTTCCCCTTCTCGCTCGAGAGGGGGTGACTGGCCCAGGAACGGCCAGGCACTTGCTGACGGCATCAATAGACTGTTGGTCGGGTACGCGAACCTGCAGAAACAGTCAACACAAAAGCAGAGACTCTGCATAGATGGCCGAAAAAGGACTTTTGATGGGTGTGGAGCGCAGCGCCAAGTGCGCCTGCTTCACAGCCTGCCCTGGATGTTCGCTTAAGCTGGATCATGACGGCCAAACAGGCAGCGCGGAATCCAGAGTTGCGGCTCTCTCTCGAAGCGGTAGGGTTGGGGCGATCGGGGGTTGGCCCTGATCATCTCGCTACGCGCTTGTCGTCTTCCTGAAGGATCATGTTGAGGAGTATGAGACGCGCTTGTGGAGGCTGCGCGAGTCAAAATGAATCAACTCGATCCACTTCTGAATCCCCCGTCTGGGACGCAGAGGAGATTGTGTCATTTGGTGGTGCGTGGGAGGCAGAGGCACTTGGCTCTGAGGAAGAGGGTGTAATAGCGGCCGTCTCGAGTGGACGCCGGTGCCGAGGCGTGCCGGGCTATAACGTCTAACGTGAGTGACTGGGCCTGTTTTGTTGGTCGGGTTGATGATGTGGTGAGGTCTGCTTGGCTCCTGGGAGTGCCCCCCAAGCAAGAAACGGCATTCAGCAGGGCTGACGGCGGGGAATGTCGTCGAAAGGGGCATAGCTCGAGGCTAATTCGAGCACCATTGCTGTGCTGACGCCAGGGACGAAAGACATTGGTCTGGTCCCTGCTTTTCCGTCTGTTGTAGCTGGTCACTGGTGCCGTACCCGCCCTTGGTGTGCGTTCTTGCAGACGATTTTGTGGCAGTGGCCGATGAGGCTGCAGCTGATTTTTGCGTGATTTTGACTCTTTCCAGTGGGAAAGGTGAGATGTCGCTGGCGAAGCTGTTACGACGAGCTTATTCGAGGTTGGCCATCCACAGGGTCGCAGTGGGTGCAACTCTGGAGCCCAACCGGACGGAACAAGTCCCATTGTTTGTGTTCTTGGCGCAGCAAGCTGGCATGCGAGGCGCAGGGAAGTCGGAACATTGTTGGTGTGTTGTTGGATGTTGAAGCTAGGTTGGTGGGCGAGTGCCAGCAGCTGACGAGACAGGTGCAAGGGGGAGGGCACCGTGCGATGTTGATTTGGATCGGCGGGTGACGGCGCAGGCAGACACACTGTGAGCGGTAGGCCCAAGCTCTTGGCGTCTTTCGTCTCTTGCTCCCCGTTTTGGCTAGGTTTGGTGCTTGCTTCTCTGGGTCGTTCCCAGGTTCCATGTCCACGTTGCTGTTCTTAATTAACGGGTCCCTTAACGCCTTTTTCTCCCTTCTTCTCGACGGAAGCTCACGGATCCGATGATGGTCACGCTCGAGGATTCGTCTCAAGATGAGGGCGTCGGGCGACCTTAGGGATCTGCTTAAGATCTTAAGTATCGTCTAATAAGTAGGCGCCTCTCGTTGACCTCTCTGAAGACGAGATGAGACCAATAACACACATCCAAGATCTAAAAGATATGACGTGCCGGCGGTTTGAGGCAGCCGCCATCCTTCCCGTTCGTCCGTCATGTCAACGTCAAGTCAAGACTGTCAAACTTGAGGCAAAAGCATCGCCGCCGGGCACTTCTGTCAGATCGACCATCACGAACAAGTCTGAAGTCGCCAACGACCCAGACGATCGGAATGCAACACCATGGTCGTCCTGAGCCGCCCTCTCCAACAACGGCCCCAACGCGAACGAAACATCAGACCCAAACTCTAATGGCCTTCCCCCGTCGCTTGTTGCGACTTTCTGGGACGAAAGGGGTGGAGCGCGCAAGGGACTTTGTGTGTGTGCTGATGCTGGCGAAGAACAGACCAGTCCCTGTCATCGCAACCGCATCCATCCAGGCTGCAAGTTTGGAACGGAGAATTTCACGACCCGCCAGCGAAGGATTCGACATCAGGCAGTCACATTTTCGAGCTCCATAAACCACTCTACAGATGCCATGGCGACGGGATTGTATTTTCGCTTTTGAAGCAGGCTGGAGCCGCGCTAGAAGGATGAATCGTGGCTGAGCCCGCCCAAACGACGGCCATCACCCCGTGGATACTGCCCCAGACCGCTGAAGCGAGCCCAGGTTCGCTTCTTCTTCGCTCGCTGCGACACCCCTGTCGTCAACACCCACTCCTGGTGGGTTTTCCGCGTTTAAGCTTACAAGCAAGTCTTTCCTTCCTGGTTTTTCAAGTCCCAAGACTCAGAAATAGCAACCAGTCGGATCATCCTTTTGACAGGCGAGTTCGCGCAGCATCCCCCCGATTTGGTTTGACGTGGTGGAGGGTGAGTGACAGAAGTATGTGTGCGCATTGATGGATAGCCCGTTCACTGTGATGCATGTTGTTGGTCCAATGACTTTCTGTGAAAAAAACAGTTGGCATTTGCACGCAATGTGCCCATGCCAACCAAGTATATTCAGAATATTATCTGCCTCAGAGGGCGGTGGATTAACTGGCACCCTCGTGAACCCGATCCCAGATCAAAATAATGCCAACATCGTTGATTGATTGCCATGGTGCCTATTTCGCCTGGTCCCATCCCGGTATTGTCGCCAGATTATGAGATTACAGGCGTCTTTGTGTAGTATATGTTGTTGCAGTTCGTAAAGCAAGTGTCGACCCCATTCATCCTCCTCATTTCGAGTTTGACGATTTAGATGCCGGCCTCCTTGTTGGCCTGGTAGACGCCGGCGGCGTTGAAGGGAACGATGTTGCCGTTGGCGTCAGTCATGGCGGCCTCGTTGACGGGGACGCTGTTGGCCTCCTGGCGAGCCTCGATAGCTGTGTGAGTCGTTAGCATCAAGTGTTTCCCAATTCCATCGTTTTCAGAACGTACGCTCGGCGGGGGCAGCTGCGACGACGGCAGCGGCGAGGGCAAAGAGAATGGCAGAGTACTTCATTTTGACGGTAGTTGTTGGTTGTTTTCGAACGAGTGTCGGCCGGCGACGAGCAGATAATTCCTGTACAAGAAGAGAAGGTTTGGAAGAGAGTGTTGTTTGTTGGTTAGAGAATAAGATCGAAAGAAACGGAACACGGGAAGGAGATGCGGGTATTTGTATCTTTGTCGAGAACTTGTCGAGGAGAGCCCAACGCCCAGGGGGTTGCGCCAAGTATCACCATCGATATCATACATCAGACATGGTATAGGGAGACGACGTGCGCACGGGTGCCGAGCCATCCAGAAGTGCTGTCATCCAAAATCTGACTGGAACTACACAGTCGTTGCCCCGGGCCCTCGAGTTGAGACCAGCGGTCAGGGCTTCCGCCCGGTTCCATCCCTGGTCATCGTCGCCGCAGCCCAATGTCGATTGCTTGGCCATATCATCATTCAGAGGAGGAAGTTGTCAACTGGTCGAGGATGGGGAAACAAGGGACCTCCCAGCGTGTCACCGCACTAACAGGAACCACACCAAGCGATGAACGATGCCCCAGCCCATCCGTTGCTGCCCCGGGCTTCGCCTGCTTCAGAGAGGATACTGAGGAGAGGGTGGCCACTGATCAGCAGCGTCCAAGAGGGCTGATCGCGGTAGACAAGAAAACCGCAGTGGTAGAAAAGGTCTGAAACTGGGCTGTGACGAGGGAGACGCGTAGGAGTGGCCCACTAGTCTAAGTGAATGCCGTGTCACAGAGGCTCGCCTACGGCTCGGACGGGCGTAGATCATACAGCAAGCCGCTCGCTATGAGCATGTTCCGGTAGCAAAGTCGGCAGGGAAGCGGGTTTTAACGTCTGAACCCCAGTGTTGCCAAGTCTGCACCCCGGTGTACCTTATTGTGAAGCTTAGCCAGAGGCTGGGGATGTTGGATTTCTCGCGTGGGATGTGGGAGAGTCCAGAACCGGCCTTTTCCCTGACGGCCTCGACGGCACAGCTTCGACGGGATGAAGGTGTTCGGACCAGAGGCGTTCCCGTCCAGGAGGCGTTTCGAAACCAGCCAACCCCTGTGGTGTAGATGTCAGGGGCAGTGTGACGCAGGAAAATCATTTGGGCGGCCCGTCGTATTTTTAGTCGGATCGCCAGTCGTTGCTTAAGTAAGGCCCGGTTTGCATTCCTCGGGCACAGCACAAAACTTGTGCATGTGTTGCTCCATAGCACAGACACAATCTTATGCCACCCGTATCCAGCTGCATCAAATCGCGGGGTTCGTTATCGGAAGTGGGGTTCAGCTGGAGTGATCCCAAGGCCCCCCCCTCTCGGCCCAGTGACATGCCATTCCTCCAGCTACCCGTACCTAACTGACAATCTACCTACTCTCCCCCATTCCAACCTAAGCTTCTTCTCCAACCTCCAACGTGCCAGACTGCCCATCTCCGCCATCTCACGCTGCTGCTGACCCTGTGCGACCGTTCTGCGGACGCTGTGAAGCTCTCTGCTACTTCCCCCCCCCAAAACAACACGCCACTTCGCCATATTCCTCCCTTTGAAACGAGCTCATGGCGACTGTGGGACACTGCCTGTACTGCTTCGAGGCGCTGGCTTCGCACCTGGAAAAGCGGCGGGGTATTTCCCTCAAAGAGATCCAGCAATCATGGCCCGAGTACGCAAAGACCCTGTCGTCCGGCCTCGGTGACGGCAAGGATGCCTCCAAGAAGCTCCTCCCGGCCCTCCAACGCCTCGCCGAGCCCGCCAGCGACTCAAACTCCGCCTCCTCCGGCTCCAGCCTTTCGCTGCCGGCCGAGACCCCCGAGACATCCGTTGACTCCCTCGCCGATGCCGACGACGATGTCATCACCGAGTCCCCGCTCTTCGTCACCTGGAACACCGTCTCACCACGCTCGGGCCACCGCTCGCTGCGGGGATGCATCGGCACCTTTGAGCCGCAGGAGCTCGAGGACGGCCTGTCGAGCTACAGCTTGACGTCGGCGCTGCACGACATGCGATTCCCGCCCGTCGAGACGTCGGAGCTGCCCTCGCTCGAGGTCGCCGTGACCCTGCTGACCGACTTTGAGGACGCTGACGACGCCATGGACTGGACGCTCGGTGTGCATGGCCTGCGCATCAGCTTCTTCTACCACGGCAAGCGGTACGGCGCGACCTACCTCCCTGACGTCGCCGTCGAGCAGGAGTGGACCAAGGAGGAGACGCTCGTGAGCCTCATGCGCAAGGCCGGCTGGATGGGCCGCAAGGATAAGTGGCAGGAGGTCGAGCTCAAGGTCGTGCGATACCAGGGCAAGAAGGAGTCGCTGGAATATGCCGAATACAAGAAGTGGTACGACTGGTACAAGAACAACAAGACCAAGTCCGGCTGAGGCCCGGCTGGTCTTTCATGACGGAACATGACGGGCGTTACTGGGACACGGGTACATTTTGGTGGTATACGGACAGGATAGAGGCGTGGTCTCCTTCGGATAGAAGAGGATAGCCTTGTGTTAATACAATTATCATGACTACTCGATGGGATGAATGTGCGTATACAACATGGCTCCTGCCGTCTTTTTGTTTGGTAGGCTCTTTGCATTGAAAACGCCGCCGCTGCTATGTCTTTGCTAATTATGGACAGAAAATATCTCGCATCAAATCATCATCGTGTCGTTACATTCCATTTCGTCGTAAGCCATGTGCTAGGCCACTCGCTGTGATGGCTTCCCAATACATGAAGCCTCGACAGATCATCTAATACCTGGTCCTGCTACGACTGGATCGATATACCGCAGCCGGAGGCCTTGGTGAAGCGCTCGGCCGCCTCTTCTCGTACACAACAGGCTGCGCGTAGCGGACCTCTTCGACCTCATACGAAGGTCGGCGCGAACGAGACGTCTCGTGGTGGTAGCGGTGCTGGCGCCTCCTGTGATGGCGTGCGCCGGGAGACCTGCCGCGGTACTTGCGGTCATATTTGCGGTCGTATTCGTCCGGCTCACCCCACGAGTTTGGCCTTTTCCAGAGGCCGCAGGATTTGAGGATCCACAGGAGGATGAGGAAGCCCGCGATGGAGCCGATGACGATGCCGGCGATGGCGCCGCCGCTGAGGTTGTTGTTTGATGCGCTCTCCGCGGTCGTCTCGGGGGTGGATGTGATGGTGACGACGACCTGGCGGGCGTCGAAGGTTCTCGTCGGGTTTTCTTCCGAGGATGCCGCGCGGGGGATGAGGCCGGCGAGGGCGTTGAAAGCTGGTGTTACTGGCGCCATTGTCGTGACTTGACGGAGAGGCGAAGAGAGAGAGACGGCCGATGAGGGAAGCGGAAGAGCAGACGAGAGAGACACTACGGCACCAGAGACGGGACGGGACGGGAGCAGCAATGGAAATACTACAGCAATGATTGATAAATGACGCCAATCCCCGTCTTAAAGGGAGCATCGAAAAGGAAGAATGGCCTGGTCGAGGGCTCGACTAACACCTCGGCCGAGGGATGGGGCCGGGGACTGCAAGTCATGGCATCGATGTGACAAGCAGGGGTAAGGATGTCAAGAACGGACCAGTCATGTCGACGATGTTGGGTGATATGGCGCCGTGTAAGTGTGGGTGGGAACGCGGAAATGGAAATTCCTTGGACGAATCCCCCTCACGGCAAGGTAGATGTTGGACTCTAGCAGGTCGGTAGCCTTGTCTCTGCGAGTCTTCTACAACCTGCATCCCGGCCTTGATGGGATTCAAGCTGCAGAAAGCACGAGGGTTCCGGTTCCACATGTCCTCGATCGCCGCCTTGATGCTTATTTATCGACCGAATCATCTTTCAAGGGAGATGTTTTGCTTTGTGTTGGTGGAAGTGGTGACCTCTCCCTCGGCTGTTGACAAAGGCGCAAATGCGAGAATTTTGCGTTCCTTGCTTGTGCATCGGCCAAGGATAGAGCCCCCACGGCAAACGGGGACCAAACAGCGGGCTAGCAAAGTTGGCGAGGCCGGCTAGAGAGTTATTCGCGATGTGACTCTGTGGGAAGAAGTGGTGGGTGGAGCTGCGAGCTTCCCATCACCTTTACGTCACTGGCTAAGCTGCTTTTCCCAGAGGCGGGTGGTTGGGAAACACCCCCGAAAATGCCGCCAAATGCGCCGTAGCCATTGGCCAATGCTCCAGACGTCGCTGTCCGGTAGTGCTGGATGGAAGCTCGGCGAGAGGCCCCACCCGCACCAAGCTGCCGTCCACCACACCACTTCATTCTCTAGTGTTCTCGCTGTCAATCCTGATCAAGGGTGGTCCTTTTCTACGGGTTTTCGCTGCCTTTTACACTTTGCCGTCTTGCCTTGGGTCGGCCCTGTTCCTGAGGCTAGAACGCATGTCTTTGATCTCGATCCTTGTGGCGGATTGTCGGTTTGGTGAGACAGACACCCGTCCCCCCTCCACGACGAAGGGCATAATTCAGCTGGTTGGGACAGTTGCATTCGACCGCTGATCAGCCCAGGTTTGGTTGCAGTGAGCGTTTTGAAATCTGTGAGTGTCGGTCGAGGAAATGTGTCAAGACTCTCTTCATTACGACCTCGCTCGAGCATGTCGAGTCATGGCCTCGACGGCGTCTTTAGTGCCGGCCACCCGCTATCGAGACCGCCATTCGTAACGGGACCTCCGCTGCCGGCGGAATGGCACAAGCCCGTGGTGTGGAACCCAATCGGCATGTTCATGAATGTCTTCGGACTCTACATTGATCCATTGTATCGTCCCAAGTGTTCGTCACCTTATTTTACCCTTCCCCTCCATGTAAAGTGCCCTTTGGGATCAGCTGCGAGCTTTTGCATGGCCTCAACATCTGCCGTCCCTGGCCCATTCTCCATTAAACCTGCCTCCACCGCCAGCTTTGCATACTTGACGGACTGCTTCGCATGCCCGAGCAGGTTGAAGTTGAGCGCTGCGATGGTACACGCGCCCGCGAGCTTCGACTCTAGCCTCTCCTCCTTGTGCAGCTTCAGAAACTTCTCAATGAGCGCGGTCGTCACCCTGGCGTTGATATCCGAAAGCGTCCTATCAATCTCCTGGATATCCATCAACCGCTGATCAGACGCCGCCGCCTGCTTCTTCGCCAGACTGCACTGCGAGCACCCGCACTCGAATCCCCACGCCAGCTTCGCGCGGTGTTGTCTCTCGGACCGCACGCCCAGCTGGTCGAGGTACGATATCGTGAGCTCCTCGCCCGACTTCACCGGCCGCACGACCGTCGTCCGGTGACGTCCGTCGGCGCCGATGTGGAAGGCGACGTTGGGCCGGCAGTCGTGGTTGTACCGTGACACCTCGGGGTAGTTGCCGTAATGGTGGCCGTCGCCCTGAGCTCCCCCGCCGAGGTCCATCTGGAACGAGTTGGTTTGCATGATGTCGACGACTTTGTGGCCGCCAAAGTGGCCCATCTGGCCGAGGAACGTCTCTCGTGTTGATGCCGGAAGAAGCTGCGCTACGGAGTCGAGGAGAGGGTGCTGTTCTGCTGGCGGTGTCCGTTCGATGAACGCGCGATGGGCGATGAGGACTGGCGTTTTCAGCATGACTGTGTCCCCTCGGGCGAGCGACTTGTTGGCGATCATGCCCAGCCCCTTACCCTCAACCTCGGTGACGCGAAATGATGGTTTTGAGGCACTCGGGTCGTCCGCGATCTGGAATTTGGCCTCCATACCCTTCAACTTTTGCACATTTTCTGGCGTCGAGATGATGACCACCCCTCGTCCGGCCGCAAAGCCCCGGTTGGCGTATAAGCAGTAGTTGCCCGCGCATCCATGCGGCCCGGTCCACCCCAGAGGCTCATTTTGCCTTGTATCATTCCGTGAATTGCGTTCAGAGTGATTTTCTGTTTTCGCAACATCCCAGGTCGAACACTCCAACAGCGACTCTTCCAGGGGCGTCCAGGGGCAAATTCGCGCCCCGCGAAGCTGCGCTTGGGCCTCGGGCGCCGCGGCGGCGGAGCAAGATGCCAAGGCGAGAGATATTATTGCTAAGGAGGAAAACATGATAAAACTTGATGAACGAAATCTCCATTGATTTTCTCCGGGGAACACAATGTTTTTGCTTCAGATGAAATGAAGTGACGTTAAAGTAGCCGATCAAAACATGGGATGAAGTTTGCCGGTCTTTCGTACCAAGACAGCTCCACTCGTTTCACCCACGATGCTGAAACTTGAGTGGACGAGAGATCAGCGAAACGAGGCGGTTGGACGGTTTGTCGTCGTCTCATCTTTTTCTCGGGACGCGGCGGTCTTTGGGTGTCCGTCTTGTCAGGAGAAAGTCAAAACTGACGCCTGCATCGCTTTGGTGAACAAAGCCAACATAGAAAGCCTCAGCTGTAGCAGCATGTCAGTAGCATGGCGACATGTTGGACAGTCTGTCTCATGATATTTTCGATATCCCATATGGAACGCCCCCCTAAGCCTTCACTGGTGTAATCGTAATCCTCACTGAGTGTTTCCGTGATGTCCCCATTATCGTTGACATCTGGGGAGAGGCAGAAAACCTCCACTTCTCAGCAAGCTTCGACTTGACACGATCAACAAGACGTCGCGGCTGCTTTGCTCTGTCCTCTCCAAGCCACACGTCGATGGGCTGCACCTTTTGCCGCATGCAAAGAGGCTGCCACGAATCAGTGTCTCTCGCCATCACTGCGTTGTAAAGCTCACTTCGCTCTGTCGAAGTAGCCAGACGCATTTCGGGCTGGTCTAGACCGCCGCCCTGGAACCAAGTAGCCACGACAAAGTCCTGACCTACGGGATTCCGCCCACCGGGCCCGCTGTCTAGTATGACAACTCTAAAGTGCACAACTCCGTAGAAGTCTCTTAGCCCTTTAGTTAGGAAAGCAGATCTATCAGGGTCCCAAAGTTCCCGAGGTGACACACTCGTCAATTGCAACTGCGCAGGAATATAGGTATCGGCACGGAGAACTTCTCCGAAGAAAGAAATACTTTCGTGGCAGTTCTCCAATGCGTATGACTGGCGTGGGTTGAGGTGCTTCCTGATCAACAGACGAGTATGCGGCCTAGGATTGAAACGTGGCAACCGCGAGGACGTCTTGTGTATGTAGGGGCTCGACCTTACCATAGTACCATCTCCCTGGTCTCTGAGCAAGATACAAAGGTTTCCACTTTCATCGTCATCGCGGAGACGACATCCAAGTTCCATTGAAATTTCTTGCCAATCGTACTCAGCTCCAAATACTTCATTTTCGATCCGGAGGCCCTTGTTTGTCATGGTGTACTTCAGAAATTATTACTACAGGCTATTTGAATGCGAAGGTAGAGGTTTCAGGGAAGAAATGTTGTAAAGACTCATTTCAGGTTGACATACCTCAACTGAAGTTTTTTCCGGTGCTCTTTCAAGTGTCTTGGCGTAGGCAAACATACTTGGTGACGTTGCTAAAACGCCAAATAGGTGCTGCGGGGTCTGGTTTGGATCGGTTGATTTCGGATTTGGGTGGCTCCAGGCAAGTATTGACGTGTCATGGGTGTCTCTTATAATTTCTTCTTGCAGTCGCATGAAAGCCCTTGGACCTTCGCCGTAAAGAAGTGGCATATTCACGCCGAAGATGCCCAAAAGGCAGTAGGCGAGGTCTTCATCCCTAGTAGTTTCCCGGTCCGCTGCCCACGACATGCGACGAGCGATGGGGATGTCAGGAAGCATATCTTCCACAGCTTCAGTCGTATTGGTCAAAAAGTCTTTATCGATGCCAGTTCTTTCTTCCATCTTGTTGCTGAGATCAGCTCTCGTGCCCAGAAAGTTCCAATTCTTGTCGTAGAACTCGACTTGACGTGGCGCAATAAGTTCTTGTAGAGTCCACCCGCGCGTGAACCAGCGCGAATCTTGGAACTGCAAAGACTCGTCGGCGCCGATATCCGCCAGATACGCGTAGCATGTCGTTGACCTCGCGTACCATTTGAACATGGAATTGATAGCTTCAGTCAGCTCCGTAAAGTTCGTCTTGTCGATACAGCACGTGTCAATCCACGCGTGCGAGTGGCCCTGGTCAAGAGCTAGACGGCATGTCTGCTTGATTTTCGCCCAGCCTGACTTGCTAGCCATAACCTCGGTATTGCCGACGTCTTGAAAGCTAGCCTCGCCAGATTCCCAAGTATGGGACAATATCGCATACTTTTCGGGAATCGATGACCCATAATACTCCTCAATTTCGAGGCTAGTACAGTTGAGCAATTTCATGGCATTCGTGTGTATCCAAGAAATGTTGATGCGGTGGACTGCGTCAGTTGGCGCGAAGATGCGATGGTTGAGGAAGATAAAAAGATGCCCAATGATCTGCTCAGGATGTAGTTCAGCAGTGGTGTGCCTAGCTAGGCAACAAGGCGGCACAGTCTTGCTTGGCCATCTTATTTGCCCGTGCAATGCAGTGTGACGAAAAAGCTGCCGGCAGGCTTAGCGAGGCTCGCCTGCTGTGAGACTGCGTCAACATGCAGGAGCCGGTAAGGCTTCATAGACTGCAGTGCGAACTTCAAAAAAGTAGATTGCGAAAGGCTGGGCTGTGCAATGGCCTCTAATTGTGAATTCAGAGAGGTCTTGCTGTCTCAACAATATGTACATGTTCAAGCCGTCTTGGCTACTTGATCTGGGTCCTCCAGTGCCGTTACCATCCTCATACGCATTGATTCCAGGAAGCAATGTGGCCCAATTGCCGTCGTGATAGTGCTTGGCTGCGTCTGATGCTGAGAAGTGAAGGGCACCGCTTCGAACCCATGCGCCGATGCCGTTTGGCGAGGAATCGAAATGACTCCGTCGCTCGTTGTGCTTGGCCAACCCGCGGGCTTGGTGATTTGGTGATCTGGCTGCCGAAATTGAATGCCGGCGTTCATTTGGGACTCTCAGGATGAGGACTCTTGCGCTTGAGATTCTCCCTCTTTGGACTGTCCACCTTCAGGCTCTCCTTCGGCTTCTCACTTAAAACCTCCTTCGGAACTTCTTTCTTTGACGCTGGCTTTCTCCCGTAGACCGAGTATCCATACCAATACGCATGAACTCCAAGATTCTTGACATCCTGCCTTACTTGGGAACCGAAAATAATGACCTCCGCAGGCTTCCATCCCATCACGCGGGTCAACAACGCCATCGCCATACCCTCGATCCCGGGAAGCAAGGAAGCCTGCACCCAGCTGCCGATTTCCTGGAGCCTCGGATCTTCGGGCCATGGCGATGCTGGCATCTTCTGCTTCGTAACCGTCACGTTCTCGAAGCCAACCCGCTGGAGGATGCCCTCAAACTCCGACGTGATGGTGAGGGAACGGCCCATCCTCGCAATGGCCTCGCACAAAAGAGACGACCACTTGTACAGGGCGTGGTCTTCCGTCAAGGTGCCGTCGTCGCATGCGACCGGGTAGAGGTTATCGTGGATTTCAAAGTATCCGCCAGGCTCCAAATTCTCAAAGGCCTGCTTGGCAATCCATTCCCAGTCGTTGAAGCAGCCGATCATATTGCGGGAAAAGACAAAGTCGAACTTCTCAGGCCACGCCCACTCTTTTTCGAGGTCGTCAATTTCAAACTGGCAATTGGGCGGAACATACTCGGGCTGAATAGGGCTCAGATCAACGCCGATGACCGTGACGGTAGGGTGTTCATCAGCGTAGTCCAATGCCCAAATGCCCGTTCCAGTCCCAAGGTCGAGCACTCTCTTGGCGCCGTTCTTCTTGGGGCACAAGCAGAGCTGCCCATCCCACACGACAGTCCACATGTGGTTCGCAATGTCCAGGCGTTCCTGCTCGAGGTCGTCATTCGGGAGGACGTAGTGACCGTCACTGAAGCGGTGGTAGGTGCGTCCATTTTCCCTGCGGTAGTCGAGGATACTGGCTTTCAGCGATGCGGTGGAAGCTCCATCATCATCGTCGTCATGTTCCGGTTGGGTGTAGTACGGGATCTCGAACCTGAAGTCGTGGTCGGAGCCCGCTCCGAAGGCAACAGCCTGAGCTTCGGGTTGTGTCTCGAATTGACCGTCAGGCTGAGTCTCACCGTGGGACTCAGGCTGGGTCTCGGGCTGATCCCGGTGTTCTTGGGCCATCGTGTGTCCCGGCCGCAACGTAGTAGTCGAGAGTCCTTAGCCGTGAGCCATCACACGTCGCGACTCCTGAGTCTGAAGGGCTTCTTCTGTTGGTTGCAACTGGAGAGTTGTGCTGGGCACATCCCTTCCCAATATTCCCTGTAAGTTGATCCATCTCCATTGGGTGCTCCACTTTATTGTTTGTTCAAATTGGAGTATTTCCATTTTCCTCAGCTTACCATCCCCGGTCCGGCGACCTTGCCTTTCGGGTCCTAGCGTCGCCGGGCACGGATCAGGAATAACGTGCTACCGCTCAGACCCGGTCCGGCGCCGACGAGGGCCCACTGTGGACGGGGGACGGCGGAGTCCCGATGAAGCTGCCGTGGGGTATCATAGAGACGGTGTTAGCTATTCGCTGGTTTGCATTCCAACAACGGGAAGCCAACATCCCTTGTCAAAAACGCTCCAGCCGAGGGCTCTCTCAGATCTCATACTTGTCATTGAAAGCAAACAGTAAACTGCAGGCAAGGGTGCAAGTACACTCGTGCCTAAACCCTCCCACCGCTTCAGTCTAGCCACTCGATATGTATAGTCGCCCGGACACGTGAAAACACCGAAGACCGCGTCGGAATATGAATATCGCGAAGGAGCCGTTCCCACCGGCACATTGTCTCGGTATTGAGTGGATATCTCATCTCAGTCAGCACACGCGTCCGGCCACGTGTTCACGCAAGAATGAGATAAGATGTGATCTGGCGGAAAAATGGATTCGGCGAGGTGAAACAGGGAGTTGAAAACACGCAGATGAAATTGTGGATTGGGGTGCTGAATTAGACTTTTGCGTACTGAGTCAAGCCGCTGAGGCTGGTTGGTGCATGTTGGCGCCGGCATCGACGGGGCAGCGATTGCGATTGCGATAATCCGGCGTGATATTAGTCTGGTCGAGAATTGAGGCCGATTGAAGGCACAATGATCAGAAAATCTCAACATCAATGTCGTTTCGTTTGATCAAGGGTCCACGGGCGGGGAGATCCAAGATCCACGTCTCCAACAGGTACCTTACAGCCAATGGCCCAGTTGGTCTAGCTGGTCCAGTTGGTCCAGGTGCAGCTCTCAGGTGGCCCGGTGGAGCATCAGCCTCAATGGCGCCACAGGAGCTCAACAGGACTACTCCCTTGGCCCGTGCACAAGGATGGGGCGGTGCAATTCCCAGGCTGCGAGAAATTCCATCCAGCGAGCGAAGGGGCCAAAACTTACCCAAGCAGGCCTTCGGGGAGATACCTAACGGAATACCTGACGAGCAAAGGGCACACGATAGCTGAGCGTCAATCCTTTACGGCAATCTGCTCATCCAACACTTCGTCCCCATCGGCAGGACTGGACCATCGTCTACGGCACTGGAGAGCCATTCGAACCGCCCCCTTGGCCTGCCCTGCACACCGGGTCCCCCAAAGCACACCTAAACCATTTCAGCGCACCTCCCAGCTGCCACCAGCTTCCTCGCCCGATCGCCGAGATAGGGAGAAGGACGAGCAAAAAAAGGCGCCTCGACATCACGACCGAGCGTCACCAACCTTACCACGCGGAGCAAACTCCCAACACCCGCCGGCTTCTATCCCATCACTTTTCCATCAGGTGCTCATTCGCGCGCCGTCAACTAGTCCCAAGCGGTTCACCTGCGACGACCGGTTGACCTAGCCTCCCCGTTTCTGGTCAATCCCTTAGCCAGCCTTACCCTTTTTTGCCTCCATTGACGACAACCCCACGATACCCCTCAACCTTTCGATATAATGTCATCCGCAGCAGGAGGCTTGACTCGACGCCGCGGCGGCGGTGGAGGCGGCGCAGCTGCCGAGGGCGGCGAGACCAGCAACGGCGCCAGCCGGACCAACTCGACGAGCAACTTCAAGGACAGCGCCCCCGAGACGAGCTACGAGAGCGGCGAGAATGGCCACAAGATTGCCTTTGACCCCCGCGACATCAGCGAGAGCGCCGAGCGCAGCAAACAGCCAAAGCTGACTCTGATGGAGGAGGTTCTGCTGCTTGGGCTGAAGGACAAGCAGGTTCGTCGGCAACAAGCTCTGGCATCACGACCCAATCGAATCCTCGTCGCTAATTAACTTTTCTTCCCACTCTGCAGGGTTACCTATCATTCTGGAACGACAACATCTCATATGCCCTGCGAGGATGCATCGTCATCGAGCTCGCGTTCCGCGGTCGCATCAGCATGCAGAAGGATGCCTCGAGAAGGCGCTTCCCGCTGGCTGACCGCGTCATCGAAGTTATCGACGAAACCCTGACCGGCGAGGTGTTGCTCGACGAGGCATTGAAGATGATGAAGCAGAGCGAGAAGATGAGCGTGAGCTCCTGGATCGACCTCATGAGCGGTAATGCCCCCCTTCCTCCCTGGGAACAAGCACCACGCTGTCCACTCGGCCACGGAACCAGGAGCTGACGGTGACGCCCACAACAGGAGAGACCTGGAACCTGATGAAGATCGGATACCAATTAAAACAGGTGCGCGAGCGTTTGGCCAAGGGACTCGTCGACAAGGGCATCCTCCGCACCGAGAAGCGCAACTTCTTGCTCTTCGATATGGCGACCCACCCCGTCGCCGACGGAGGTGCCAAGGAGGAGATTCGCCGCCGTGTCCGCAACGTCTTGACCCAGCGCACCGTAGTCCTCCCGGCATCCCAATTCCTGCCCGAGAACCTCGAGTTCCGCTACGTCCGCACCATCGCCATGGTCTGCGCTGCCTACGCAGCCAACGTGCTGGAGAACGCCCTCAGCACTCTTGGCCACGAGGCTCGCGAGCGTGCTTTTGCCCAGACGGACGAGCTCCTTGCCGACTACAGCCAGTGGCCGTTCGGAAAGAAGGCTACCGGCAATGGCATCGGTGCCAACCTGCCCCAGGTTATTCAGGAGGTGCGTTACACACACATTTGCCGCCATAACACGAGCTAACAATTCGCAGGAGGTCAGCAAGGGCAAGGACAAGGAACTGCAACTAGAGGTTGTTGCCGCTTGCCTCAGCGTCTTCACCCGCCTCGACTCCCTCCTGTAAACTAATTGATCGACTCGAACAACGAGCGCTCTGCTGTCAGGCCGCCTCAAGGCCCGCAGCAGCTAGCTGAGCACAAGCTCGGGCATCTCCTTTCCAATCCTATTTGCACCTAGA